AGCAATGCGGGCGGCAACGACAGCTACTTCGCCACGCTGAGCGTGCGCGCCGAGCCGGCCGCCAACCGGACCCCGGGCGAGGGCCACAACGAGACGCAGGCGGCGGCGCGCTTCCCGCTGGACCTCACCACCATCCTGGTGTCCACCGCCATGGGCTGCATCACCTTCCTGGGCGTCGTGCTCTTCTGCTTCCTGCTGCTCTTCGTCTGGAGCCGCGGGCGCGGCCAGCACAAGAACAACTTCTCGGTGGAGTACTCCTTCCGCAAGGTGGACGGGCCGGCGGCCGCGGCCGGCCAGGGGGGCGCCCGCAAGTTCAACATGAAGATGATCTGAGGGCCCGGGGGCCGCCCGCGCGGCGTCTTCACCACCTGTGCACCCGCCAGGGGCGGCCGGCTGGCCCCGCGGCCCCTGTTCTGTCGAGGACAGCCGCACGACTCTTGTCTCTCTTGGGCACGGGCACATCTTGTGCAGTTGCGCGGGCGTTTTCTAGGGGTTTTGGCGCGTGTCTTGCTGCCCAGGCCCTGGGCCGCCGATGCCGAGTCTGGGTCCTGTCACCGGACGAGGGACTCAGGGGGCCCCTCCCAGGGTGGGCGCAGCTGCGGCCCTGAGCCCTCTTCCCACTCACCGGCCGGGCTCACGTCCGAGGGAGACAGTTTACACCTGGACACCCCCAGCTCACACCCGGTACGGAGATCCGCACGAGGAAAACAACCCAGAGTCACACCCTGCTCGGACCCAGGACCAGACCCCAAGGCACCACAAGGGCGCACAGGACGCTACGTGAAACCAGAGCCCATGCTCAGACTCGCTCTGCACGGCTCACACCCGAGACACACAGTTCACACCCAGGACACAGCTCACACCCGGGACACACTCAGCTCACACCCGGACACACAGTTCACACCCTAGACACAAACAGCTCACACTTACACACACTAAGCTCACACCTGCACACGGGACACAGTTCGCACTCAAGACACACTCAGCTCATACCTGCAACAACTCACAGCTCACACCCAGGACACTCAGCTCACACTTGGGACACACACAATTCACACTTGGGGCACACCACACAGATCCTAGAAGGCACGTGTATCTCACAGCCAGGGCACACAGAGTTCACATCCAGAGCTCACAGGACACCTCTCACACCTCAGACATGCTCCATTCTCACCTGGAACACACTCACTTTACACCTGGGGCACTCATTCACAACTCACCCAGACACACGCTAATTGTACCTACAATGCACAGAATTCACACCTAGGACACTAATTGCTCATTCCCGGGCACACTCAGTGCACACTTGAGACTTTCATGGTTCACGCTGAGCTCACAACCAGGGCAAACTTCACCCAAGACATTTCATACACACCCAACTCGTTCAGTTCACAGCAAGACACATTCAAGACACACCCAGGACACACAACTCACACCAGGACACCCAGCTCACACCAAGACACATTCAGTACACTCCCAGGACACCCGGCTCACACCAAGACAGATTCAAGACACAGCTAGTGCACATTCACCTCACACTAAGACACCCACACACGCCCACTCCCACACCGCTGCCTCTTACTTGGAAGAGTGTACTGAGGGGATGTCAGGGCCAGGCCCACCTGTGAGGAGCCAGCAGTCACCAGGGAGCTCACACATGTCCCCACACCCATGCCCACCATCTCGTCACTCTTGGGCTCCCCATCCCCGCAGCAGCCTCCACCCCCTACAGCTGCCACCTGCTTTCTCACCTGGACTGTCTGGGAGGGGGCTGCTCACCTCATGGTGGGGAGTGTGATTCCTGGGAGTGTCTGTATCCAGTAGGCCAGCTGGACTGACAGACACCCCTGAGGACACACTGACCACTGAGCCAGCCTTGAACTGAGCCTCAGGTGGCTCCCAATCATTGTTCCTGGGAGGAGTAAGACCACAGAGTCTGGGCAATCCTTGGGGCTCACACCTGAATCATAGTACACACTCAGAACACCCTGCAGATGGTGGGAGGACATGCGGCTAGAACAGGGGTTGCAGAGAAAAGGTGGCTTGCATGTAGATTGTTGGAAGGAGATGGTGTGGGGTAGAGCTTGGGACAAAGGGTGGGGCTCACAGGCAGGCTGTGGCTCCGGTTAGAGCAGAGCACCCCCACGCCACAGCCCTGTTGTTTCTCAGGTGGTGAGCTCCCCGTCACTGGAGGTAAACAAGTATTCAACATCAAACAGGATTTTTCCGTGACCGAGGCTCAACAGCCTGATTCTCACCTCACCTAACTTCCACTTTGGGCAGACAAAATTTGGTCAAAGTGAGAGAAGGGACACAGGCAATATGGCAGGACCCAACCTCAGCCAAGAGCTACCTTGGTCACGGACCCTGGGGTTAGACACTGAGTCAAAGTTCTGCCTGGGGACCTTTCCAGACCCTCAGTATCCTTCTCTGTGAAATGGGTCAGAGGGTGGAGTCTTGCTGTGTGTGTCTGTGTGGAGGCCACACTCACAGAGGACATCACAGGATCAGGCCCTTCTGAGATGACCAGAGAAGCAGCAGCCTCGTACCAGAGTCTGGGGACAAAGACTGGGCAATCTCGGAAGAGGACTGGGCCCGGGGAAGGGGAGGCAGCAACTGGGACCCTGGGAGCGGAGAGCCCTGTTCTCAGTGGGGTGGGGAGGCCCAAGGGAGAGGCCAGGAGCCTTCCTGCGACTGGAAGGGAAGCTTCGTCCCTCCGCCTCCGCCTCTGCCTGACCTTGTTGCTATGACAACTCGGAGGGCCCTTCGATACACATCCAAAGTGCCTTTAGCCCAATCAAAGAGGAAGGTGCGTCCTCGACAGCTTTAGGGTTAACTGGGCCTTCACAGGATCGGAATTCTTGGCCCCAATGATCCCTCCCCTCCCCACAGACCCAAGGTCCCGCCCCCATCCCTCTCTCTGTATTTGTTGGAATCCAATAAAAAGAAACCCGATTTCATAGCAAATTTCAGATTGGATTTATTGCTATGTGGACGCGCGGGGCAAGTGTAGGCCTGGGGGAGCGGGTTGGGCCGGGGGCTCACAGGCCCAGAGCCAAGCTGAGTGACTTCACACCGGGGCACATGCTGCCCACACTGGGACACACAGACAGCTCACACCCAGGACACACACACAACTCACACCTGGGTTAGAAAGCTCACACCTGGGACACAGCTCACATTTGAGACCGCAGCTCAGCCCTGGGGCACACACAGACAACTCACACCCAGGATATAAAGCTCACATCCGAGACACAGCTCACACCCTGGACACAGACTTCCCTCACCTGAGGCACACAGAGCTCACACCCAGGACGCACACAGTTCACACTCAGAGAACACACAATTTACACCTGGGGCACACAGCTGATGCCTGGAGCATAGACAGCCTACATCTGAGACACACACAGTTCACACCTGGGGCATGCAGTTCACACCTGAGGTATACACAGCCCACACTCAGGACACACACAGCTCACACCCAGGACACAGAGCTCACATCTGGGATATGCACAACTCACACCCAAGACACACATAATTTACACCTGGAGCACACACAGTTCACACCAGGGACATACACAGCTCACACCAGGGACACATGGCCCACCTCTAGGACATACACAATTTACATCTGGGGCACACACATCACTCCTGAGACACACAGCTCATACCTGGGCACACACAGTTCACACTCAAGACACACAGAATTCACACCCAGGACACACCCAGCTCACACCTGGGACATGGCTCACCCCTAGTGCACACACAGACAACTCACACCCAACATATAAAGCTCCCGTCTGAGACACACACAACTCACACCTAAGACTCAGATGGCTCACATCCAGGACACTCCCTGTTCACCTGGGACACCAGGCTCACATTCGAAACACACACAGCTCACACTGGAAGTTACACACCACTACTCACACCAATGCACGTCAGGAGCCCCTCACGTCATCCCGGGACCTCTCTGTGTGTTAACTCCCTTCACAGACCACGTCCTGGAGGGTTAGGCCTGGTCATGGTCCCATTTTACAGATGATCAGTGAGGGGGGAATTTGCTCAGAGGCCTCTCTCCTGGAGAGCAAACAAGCACCCTGAGTGACTGGCAGGGCTGGGCTTTCGGGGGAACTGTGGCTGCACCCACACACAAGTGGGGGTGGGGGTACTCCTGAGAGAAGAAAGGAGAAGTGAGGGTGCAGGCCCTCGGGGACTTCCTCACCCTGGACTGGGGGTGGGGAAGCTCCTCTACCCTGCTGCTCCCCCTCCACTCGCTCCCCACTCCTCAGGGCTCTGCAGTCGGCATAATAACGTACCTGATTCTCACTCCAGCTCCCAGCAGATGGAGAAACTGAGGCACAAGCAGGGCCTGCCCTCCCTATCCCTGCAAACCCACTGGTTCCTGCAGGCCAAAGAGGAAGCTGTGGAGAGAGCACAGGACCTTGCTGCCTCGTGCTGCTCCCTGATACTGTCCCCACCCCACGCTTGGTCCTGAGTGGTCACCCCTCCCCTCCCCCACCCAGAGGTGCATGGTGACGAGTAGGGTGTGGGTTCTGTGAGATGTCCCCTCTGAAGCCCGAGGTGGGGGGCCAGACAGGGCCTGAAACGCACCCCACCACTGTTGGTCTTGCAGCAAAGCCTGGGGCCCCTCCTCAGCTCAAACCACTGAGCCACTGAGAGTTTGCAAAGTCCCTTCTCATTCTTGGAAGGGGTGGGCGGCAGGGGGGAGGTCAAGGTCGGCATCTCTGAACAGTGTCCTTGTCTCCCAAGGAGGGGACCCTCAGAGCATTCCTGCAGGGGCTCCCCAAATACAGCATGGGGATTGGGCGGGAGGCGAGCCATCAACATGCCTCAGTCCTGTCTCACAGATACAGCTTCCCACACAGACGCCTGTCTCTCTCCTTCTGTCCCTCCAGCATCTGCTGCCCACCTGCCCTGCTCCCCAGGCCCCAGCAGGCCTGCTGCTCTGTACATGTTCCAGGGGGTTCTGTGAACTGTGCAAGGCAACCCCTTCCCCTCTCCCGGTTCCCCCTTGTGGGCACACTTCCCCCACCTGAGCCCCCTCCTCACTCCCCCCTCCACAGACACATGCCCCATCTGAACTTCCTCCCTCCTCACTCTGCCCCCATGGGTCCATTTCTCTAACCTGAGCCCCCTCGTCCCTCCCCATTCCCAGTCCCCATGGGCACACCTCCCCCACCAGAGCCCCTCCTCTCTCTTCACTCCCCTCCCCCCGTACATCTCCTGAACTCCTTTCTCCACACTCCCCCCAAGGCACATCTTCCCCCACCAGAGCCCCCACCTTTCTCCCCATTCCTCCCACCTGAACT